GAATAAAATTTTCTGTATATTGTCAATTTAGTCTTTTGAGTCTAACTAAATGCAGATGCACACGTTGGCTTTCCAATTATAGTTTAGATTTAGACATGATTGAGGACTTGTAAAGGAGAAGACGGCTTAAGAGAGATGAGAGTTTCTCTAAATTAAGTATCTCCATAAGCCAACATGGCTACACAGGGAGCTTTCAGACAAGTTTAGATTTTAAAAGAACAATTACTTAACATAGAAGGATGAACATTCCTAGAATTAACATAAGAGTGATCTCGGTTATCATAACTCCCCATGTCATACCAGCTATGGGAACAATTAAAGAACAATGACAATCACACATTGGTCTCTCGGCCTTCCTCTAGTGTCGATACTATGCTTCCAGAGTTTATCTCTGTTCTAAGAGGCTCAGGTCCTCTTAAGAAGTTGCTGTTGTCTTGTTCTGCTGCTTCCACTTTCCAGACTTGACTTTTCCCAATCCGGGAGGAGAGTTCACTGTAAGTGACTGTGGCCCATTCAGGGCCTGCCATAGGTGGTCTGGCCTTTAAGTAAGCATAGCTCTTTTGATTTTGCAAGCTCTTTTAATTTTTAAAAGTTCAGATTTATCCTGAGGCCACAGGGAAGTCATGAAAGAATATTAAGTCAGGAAAGTAAGGTTATCTTGTTTGGTTCCTTTTGCTTTTAATTTTCTTCTGACTATTATGTGGTGAATGGATTAGAAGATAGGAATGGCTAAGAGAAGTGACACAGACACCACTCAGAAGGTCACTGTTATGGTCCAGCTGAGAGATGGTGGAGGCCCAGAACTCAGACAGCATCAGTGGGCTTGGAGAGAAATGGATGGATTCAAAAGATATCTAGGAGGTAGAAGCAAGAAGACTGAACGATGGCATAAAACTCCATGATCACTTAAGATCACTTAGCCTCCTAACACTTAGCCATTTTAATGCTCATCTAAGAGCTGTTCCAAAGTTTATTTATCAAATGAACAGTAGCACATACTTACTTTGTTGAGGGGAAATCTGCTAGCATGATTAATAGTAGTGTAACATTTTCAAGTTATGTCAATGAATCTAATAATTCTACAAAGCCTTATTCCTATATTTCTAGGATATGAGGTACAGAATGAGGACACACACACAACAAATATTTATTGAGTGCCTGGGTAACATATTGTTCCTTAAAAAAACAAAACAAAAACATACAGAAGCAGCAGGAAACTGACAGATTTAAAAGAGAAAAGAAGTATTTTCTATAATTTATTTGGAGCTATGAAAGTTATTGAAGTGTAATACTTGCCTCGAATACTTTCCCAACAGCAGAAATTAATTTTTATGCCTAAGCAAGATACTGCATGGTGGTGAAATATATAAGGTTCACTGATTTTGAATATTCTATTCAAAATATCTCAAAAGAAAAAAAGACTGTTTATGCAGTCAACTATTTGAACTAGTAGAATGACTGAAGCATAAAGAAGAATAAGCAAAAAAGATGTTTAGACATTGCATAAATATGGAATTTGATTTTCTTCAACAAAATATTCAAATTAAACTTAGGGGTTATTAATTAATCTTGTCCATATAATATCGATTCTTTAAACTCTGATGAAATCTCTGAGAAACTAACTAGAAGACCAGTCTTCATCCTAAATTTAAAAATGTTTCTAATTACATATATCTCCGTACCAATATATTGTACGTTCTTCTTGAATACCTTTAATATCTTCATTAGATGAGTAATATATAATATGAATGACATTAATAATTAATAGAGCAGTGTCTCATAGAGATTACCCAATTCTGCTTTCATGCACTTGAATGTGATTATTTTTAAAAAGGTCTTAATCCATAATGTCAACCTCTTTTGTTTATTTCTGTTTGTCCCATCCTTTAGAGGATATCTCTTTCTGAGGAAGATTTTTTTTAGTATGTGCATTTTGTTTATGCTATACATGCCAAATAGATCTCCCAAGATGAAACTCTGAGCTCATTTGGAAGTAATTTTTGGTAGCACATGAATCAGAAGTCTTATTTTCTTCTCAGCACTACTGGTATTTTATTGCTTCCATCTATAGTCCAATATGCTTTTTAGCGCTAAGAACCCTGAGGCCAAACACACAAAGCACTAAGAAAATGGGAACTTCTGGCGATTACAATTTTTGTCTCTCTTTCAGGGTTCTTCCCTCCCCTGGGAGAGTGAAATCACTTTAAGCTCACTATGAAACAGGAACACGGTGAGCGCAAATGATTGACTGAAGTTGGTGATGTTGATTTAGGAGTCTTCGGCTTAAAGGTCAGGTGTAAAACCCTTAAACCTGCTTGTCAGAGTCTGCTTGTCAAAGTCCTATGGATTTTTCCAGACTCTGCCCAAATGTCACTTTTTCTGTGAAGGCTTCTCTGGCCAGTGCAGGCAGAGTTAGACAGTTCCTCCTTTGTATTATTATCGTACCTTAATATATTCCTATGGTGGCACTTACCAAATTATAGTGCATTTATTTATCTGTCTTTCTCCACTCATAGATAGGGAGAGACTATTCTCTTCCTTTTATCTCTGGACCAGAGCACTACCAAAATCAAGTTGGATCTTAATAAATAATTGAAAGGATGGTCAGAGAATGGCAAATACTCTACATCTGCACAGCACGGGTTTTGAGGTCTTTTCACATAGTGGTAAGGAAGACATGGCTAAAATTATCATCCAAATTTTACAGATAACGAAATCAATGCCCAGAGAGGTTACATAACCAGCCCAAGTTCAAAACAGCTAATAAGTTGCACACCTAGTTCTCATGCCAGCAAGCTGCTAAAAATTTGTAGATAGAAGTGGTAAGGCACAGAGGGCAATGGCTGGCCAGGACTGCATTAGGTGAGTATTTCAGACTGGTTGACACATCGTAGGATCTGGTTACTTGTTTTTGAAATTCAATCTTAACACGTCCTCAACAAGTTAACTTAAATGCACGTGAAACTGGACATAAGAATGTCAAATTACTGACAATGAGAATGATATGTGACAAGTTCTTTCTCTGTACTCAAGCTATTATACATGGACAGTGAAGTCAATAGAGAGAAAAAAGACATAAAACGTATCCTACATACATGTAATACTCATGTGCTCTGCCATCTTGAACATGACTCTGACTACTAAAGAGGAATAAGTTCTTAGAGATCAGTACTCTAACCCTTTCATTTTATAGGAAGGAAGGAAGAAAGGAGGGAAGGGAGGGTGGGAGGGATACCTAGACGGGATAAATAAGACTAAATGACTTACTCAAAGCCACACAGCTTGTTAGTGGTGGTACCAGGATACTGAATCAGGTGTTCTTAAAATAATAGTCTTACATTTTTTTTTAACAAGTTATGATTGAGAAGTTATACAAGTATAGTTCTTAGTAAGTCTTCTAAGCATCTGGCTAATATGACTACATATAGGTTGTAACACACAAATTATCATTAAAGGAATGTTGCCAAATGGGAGAAGTACACCATCTGCTACTCTGGGCCTGTGTATTGAGAAGGTGAAGGAGCATATAATGTGACAGACAGTCTTTTAAGATCCAATACATGTTAAAACAAAGTGCCTTTTAATGGAGATGGAAAATATTAATGATGTTTATTTTTATATCTCCAATTACTGATAGGCATTATTGTCACAAAAATAATTTATTGGATTTATCATTTCAATGTGTTAACTGAAGTATATTTCCTGGTCCCCATTCTGTTTTAATATACTCTGTTTTCTTTTTGAAAATAATCCAAGTAGATATAACCTGGGTGTTTATGTGTTCATATCATTATTTGTAGCTTTTAAGTTTTGAAAATGATTTAACTACTTTCTCTTGGTCCTCTTCTCATTGCCAATAGAACACATTCTATTAATATTTGTTACTGGTCAGCTAAAAAGTTAAATATGTGTCTCTCTGAAGGGGCAAAGACCCAAATCAGCTAATATTTTCAGCAAAAAAAGAAGATAGATACTCACATTTATAAAAGTTTTTGATTTAGCTTCTCTTACCAAAGCTGCTTGTTTAACTGTTGGGGTGTGCTCTAGGTTCTATGTCCTGGGTTGGTAGATGAAAGCAATTTGACTTCCACAAGCATATTCATATCTCACAGATGGTACAAGTCACACTAAAATCAAATGATTTCATGGGGCAACGCCATTGATCAAGAGAGGGAGTCTTATGTAACAAATCACTGCTTTGGGGAGAAAAACACACCTCAAACTGCAATAAATTTGTTTGCTAACTGATCTTTCTGCTGGGGATTATCGCTAAAGTTCCTTCTTTCAGTATATGGACTCTTACCTGTTTGATATCAACTACTATGCGTATCTTTCTGTTACATCACAATCACAGTGTATGCTCTTCCTTCTACTCTTTCGTTGGATGCAGAGGAGATGTATTTCCACAGCATATACACAGCAAAGCCTTTGATTCCTTCTAGCGCCGTAACTTGCACCGTAATTGCCCACTCCAAATTAATGCTAATATTTTCTATTATCCCCAAGAGTTAAAGTTTAAAATAAGAGGCCACATTATGAAAGAAACTTTAGGTATCTGAGGTCATTTACATAGTCCAATTCAAAATCAGTTTCTCATTGAGGCTAGGAAAGAAACTTATTCATAAACCACAGCATTTTCATGTATTAAGTGAATGACGATTTTAGGTATTAAGTTTTAAATTAGGTGAAATTATAATATTATGCTATATAAAAATCTGAGTCATTTAAGTACCAATCCATTCATTTCCTATAAAATCTCAGTAGAATATTTCCCATGTATACCTAATATTGAAGATAATTCATTTAGGTCCCCATTATATGTTAAACCAACCATGGCTTATGAATTATAATTTTTAGCCATGTTACAGGTATATCTGTCAATTCTAGTTAAAGTACTATAAAGTGAAATCAATACAGTCAATAGGCACATAAAATGCCAATAGAAGACATTTAAAAATAAAAGCAGCAAGCCTTGCAATGCTTTAAGATGTATTACTCACCAAAAATAGAGTTCGGAAGTTGCTGAGATCACCAAAAAACTCTTCTATGCTCACTGTCTTAGAGTCAAAAATGAAGTATTCTCCAAGATTCTCATAGAGCTTTATCATGTTGTTGTGCATGGTCAACAGTTTTTCATACTGGTCTCTGGCACTCTTTGTGAAGCTGTAGCTTTGTGTTAAGGAACATGATTCAATAGTAATTCAAAGGCAATCACTAGATGTTAAGACTGAATTAAACCATTGCTTCTATAAATACATTTGTAATGTAAAAATACTTAAGTATTAGTTTGCTGGGGCTGCCATGATAAAACACCAAAGATGGAGTGGCTTAAACAACAGAAATTTATTTTCTCCAATTCTGAAGGAGGTTAGAGGTCCGAGATTAGGGTATCGGCAGGTTTGGTTTCTTCTGAGGCCTCTCTCCTTGGCTTGCAGATGGCCACCTTCTTGTTGTGTTCTCACACAGTTGTCTGTCCCTCTGTCTGTGTTGTCTATGTCCTAATCTCCTCTTCTTACACCAGTCATATTGGATTAGGGCCCACCCTCACAATCCCCTTTTAACTTAATTACCTCTTTAAAGGCCCTATCTCCAAATGCAGTCACATTCTGAGGTACCAGGTGGTTAGGATTTCAACATATGAATTTTGTGGGGTACACAATTCAGCCCATAATAACCTGTTAGAGTCATTATATTGGTGAGTTTTGAAAATCTTTAAATTAGGCAGAGCTATTTAATATATAACTGTACAGAATGTGTTTGTTACAAAATGTTTGCTAAATGAAAGCATATAGATATAAATACCAGAAAACTGCCTCATATCTTTTTATGAACAAGGTAGGAAAAAACAGCAACAAAAAACATAAAAAAAAACCATCTATTTTTTTCTTTTTAAATATTCATATTCTATATAAACAGAGATAAAGAAGTTATAGTGAATTCTATATATGAATTATTATGTATATATATATACACACATGAGAAGGGGAAGGAGAGGGAGGGAGAGAGAAAAGAAGGTGATGGGGTTCGGACACACTACCCCAAAATATGGCACCTTGGCATTTGAGAAAACAGCAGAAGCAAGAAGGTCTCTCTGACCTTCCCCTCATCCTTCTCCCCCGAAGCAGGCCAGAAAATAATTCTCTACCCTGCCTCTGAAGCAGGTCATAAGACCCTCATTTCTGAGCTGTCCCCCATACCTGGAGGAAAGGAATGTCCTTATTTCTGGAGACATGGACACAGAGAAGAATCTGAGCAAACAGGCCTTGCTAAGTCCTCCCCACCACCCCGCCTCAGTCCATCACCATTGGCTCATATACACTTGGTCCAGTTAGATTTCCCCACTGTCTACTCTTCATGAAACCTATGCAAAAATACACGAGTTTTCCTGTTTCTTTAGGTCTTCATTTCTGAAGGCTCCTGTGTCACATAAAGCTTACATTAGATAAATTTGTATGCTTTTCTCTTATTAATCTGTCTTTTATAGAAGTCCAACAATGGGTAAGAAAATAAATCTCTTCTCCTCTACAAAGGAGAGGAAGAGGCATGTGGCAAGAAAGGGAGGAGAGGGAGAGGGACAGAGAAGGAGATGGAGAGAAAGTGAAAGATAATTTGCTACAGTTCTAGAGGGAATTTTCTGTAGCTTTAGAACCTTAATCACCCAAAGGGCATGTTGAAAGACAGACAGCTGTTTGTAGGGGCCCCAGCCCAGGGGCCTGAGAATTAACATTTCTAACTAGTTCCCAGGTGATGCTGATGCTGCTTGTCCAGGACCACGCCTTGTGTAGTATGTTCTAGAAAATTAAGTAGACGCTATTATCTCCAGAAATTATATAACTGTTTTAAAAAAAATTTTAACAAGTGATAATAACAACCACTATCAAAGCATAAAATGAACCAAATATATATGTGTCCTACTAAAGATATTTCACTATATATAAATTTATACTTATAGAAACAAATTGTAATACTTTTTTCCTGATTATAGAAGATCTAGATAGTTGAAAATAACCCTTTTTACAACTTAGAAATACAAAAACAAATAAGTCAAGTAACATTTCCAACTCAGAAACAAGTATTGTGAATATTGTGGTGCATTTCCTTCTGGTCTTTCCTCTATGGCTAATAACTTTTGATTGTTAATTGATAAGAATGTTTCAGAGAAAGATAAGCAAACTAACCATAAAGAATAAAAGAAACTAAATCAACATTTTAAAATTAGAGTTAAATCCATTAAAAATCAATAATCATCACAGAAACAAAATGTCATTAGATGGAAAAGTAGTAGACTTGGAGTCGTAGGGAAGGACAGTAACGCAGTCTGGGGCATACTATTTTAAGATCCACTACGGTATGTTACTATTTTGTGGTGCTATTATTTTATCAGGTACTGATAATTGTGCCTTGAAAAACTTGATTTTATAAGGTTTTCTGAATTCTTCAGTGTGTTTTATTATAACCTGGGGCCAAATTTATTTTCCATGGGAACACAGATCTCGTTTTATAATGGAAGTCGATGGGGAAATCAGACCATTTCTGGAAAATTACTTTGCAGCTGACACGAAATATACCGTGATTTTAAAAGTGAGATGCCCCCTACCTATTCTTTTTTATGCTGCTTATGTATTAGCATTCACATTAACAACACAACTCCTTTCATGCTAACAAGTGACATTATTAAATCTTTCAACCCTCAAGTCTATTTTGATATCAATAGACCTAAAAGAATCAATACATTTCTGACAGACTCTATTTTTACCAACAAAAGGGTACATAATGCTTCACATACATTCTGATTTTACCTTTCAGACTGTCAGCATATATTTTTTGATTTTAAGAAAAGTTAAACATCCTATTTAAGTGCAGCAGAAATAAGAGTCTTCATTTCTTAGCACAGAAAGTGATTTTTGTTTTCTAGCCTCTCTTTCTTAAATAAAACAGATTCATGCCAGGGACTTGCTAGGCAGAAACACTTTGCAAAGGTCACTTGCTTGTAATCTATTTGCAATGCAAATCACTAAACTGTGTATTTCAGAAAGCTCAACATCTGTACGACAGAGAAAAAGCCAAAGATAACAAAAAAGGCAAAATTTGTATGTTCCCCATTTATCATAACACAATTTTTCACCAGCTAAAACATATCCATGTAGTGATACACAATTTCATGAATTTGTTCTTATAGAACAAAAACTGATTTCAGAAATTCTGTCTGTATATCACAGTGAGAAAATTTCTAAAATTCTGGGAATGGTTTATCTTCAAAATAACAAATAGAAAGCAATCCAGTCTCTTTAAGTCCTTCCCTTATCTTCAAAGTGATTACTCTGTAAAAGGGAGAAATGACGTGAGTCAGCACTGAAATCTTCCACCATTGCAACCAAGTCACCAAATCCTACATGGGACTGCAGGTAAGAAAAGAACTGGATACCGTCATTCCCTTTCATGCCTTTATTTCATTTGGGAAATTTTTATTTTATTTTTTGAGCAGCTATTAAATACAAGATACAGGCAGGTTGGTACTACGCTAAGCATTGTGATGGACAATGATCGTTAAAGTCTTAATCTCCACCCTGAAGAAGTTTATAATCTAATGGGACAAATAATTCTACCATCATTGATTTGCATGTGTGTAAGCCTTTACCATTGACAATATACTTTTCCTTCCATTATACCCCATATTCTTCATAACAACCTTTTTAAAAAGGCAGAGACTTTTCAAATTTTAGAGTTGTGGAAGCTAGATAAAAGGCGCTCATCCATCTACGGTTAGAATGGAAGCATCATGACAGTCCCTGGCATGAGAGCTAGCTCTTCTCATACAGTAGAAGTATATTATTTACAATGACAATGACCTTCATGTTGCCAAATCCAACATTCACTCCTTTGTTCTCCTTTTGAGGTCTCAGCGGCATCTGACACATTTAGCCACTTCTCTTAGTTTCTGTGACACACGCCCTCATGCTTAAAACGTTTTTTCTCTTACCTCCTCTCCTTCTCTGGTACCTTCTGTAAAATATTAGAGTACCCTGAGGGCTTGATCCTGAGCCCTCCACCTATATTCTGTCTCTAGTTAATCTCAGCAATCCCCATGGTTTTAAATATCACATTGGTGACTCCCAAATTTATATGTCCTATCCCAAACTCTTCCCTAAGGTACAAACTTTTATAATCACCTGTCTACATGTCTTCTCTACTTGAATGTTGTTTTATTTTTAATAGCATCTATTGGGATCTCAAATGTAAATCCCTTCCTGAAAACCCTAGCTTCCCACAATGCTTGGAATAAAATCCAAACTCCTTCCCGTGGTTTATGAGGCTCTTCATGATCTGTCCTCTACCCGCCTCTGCAACCTAATCTTATGCCATTTTCCCTCTTATGTACTATGCCTAGCCACATTTTCCTTCTTTCTGTTCCTTGGACATACCAAGGTTATAGACAATTCAGGGCCTTTGTACTTGTTGTTCTCTCTGCCTAGAACGTTTCTTTTCCACCAGGTCATTCAATTTTAGCTCAAATGTCACCTCGTTAGAGAGGTGTTCCCCAACCATCCAATCTATTAATAAAATATCCACCCCCATCACTCTTCTTCTGGCCTATTTTGTTTCATGCTGAGAACTTAATCACTATCTGACATTATCTCTTGTGTTTATTTTGGTTATCTACCTGTTTATTGCTCACCCTTACCCACTGAAAAATATAGCCCATGAGAGTAGAGCTTAGCTGTCTTGTTGACCACTGACTCATCAGCACCTAGAATAGTACCTGACACATACTAGAAATGGTAGCAGTAACAAAAGAATGGAAATCAGCAATAAAAATAATAATTATACCTAACCTTTTCTTTTGAGGCACTGTGGAATGCTTCCCATGGATTAGCTCATTTAATCCTTACAACAGCTTTCTGAGGTAAAAAAATTTGCCCAAGGTCACATGGTTGGTAAGTCACAGAAATGGAAATAAACTAAGTGTGGCTCTAGAACCCATGTTCTTAACCATTATGCTACATAGCTTCTTAAGAAATATTTGTTGAAGGAGTAGAGCCTCATTACAACTGTGCATTGGAGGATGGGAGATGTACTGACTTCAGTGAGTAGTTAAACCAAAATCCCTTTTATGAATCTTAAGATAAATTTCACAACAAATCTTATTTATTGAGAATATTTTTAT